CTGCAGAGTGACAGGTTTTCAGGAGCCACCCTGGACGAGCAAAGGGAAGGATGTTCTAAAAAAATAAATCTGTTTAATGATGAAAGCGTTGTGCACTCCTGCACAACTATTATTAGTTCAAACTAAGATCCAGTGGTCCTTGATGTTAAAATAAAATGCCTCTGTAGGCTTCAGTCCTGAACATCAGGAAATATGACTTTTTTTTTTTTTTTCCTGAGTCTGGTGATTTTAAAAATAGATTTATTTTAACACTATAAAAAGAAGTTGGCACACAGTCCTAACGTAACACTTAAACCATGCCAAATACAAAATCCAAATTTTGAGAACGATTTCATAAAAACCACCTCACCTGTTAGTGTGTTTGGTGCTTTGCCAAAGTTGTGCACGTGCAGTTGTCTTTCTCTGTGTTTGTAAGCACGAGCACTGTACTGAGCTCTAATGGAGTAAAAAATTGATATGCATGCTGTTTTTTAATTACCATTATTGACTTGTCAGAAAAGGTGTCACTACTTTTAGCGTGTTTGAGGATCAGTTTAAATTTGGACCTGAACATACAAACCTATTGCTAAATGATATGACCTCCATGATGTGTTTAAGGTTGTATGGTCAGGTCTCTGTGCATTTTGGAAGGTGAGTATACCTGGTTTTATTACCTTTTTAGGACCTTTTCTGGTATAACTTCATAGTATCACGGACACGTACTTAGTCTGAACTTGTAGTTCTTATTGGGACCAAAGCCTGATCCTGACACAGTAGACTGTTATTTTTGGGTTGGCATGTATAGGTCAAGGGTTAGATGTGAACCAGGTTAGAGTTAGGTATGTACTTAGTTAGGGTTAGGCATGTTCTTGGGTAGGGAACAACAGTGGAACGTGGTAGCACAGTTGGTAGAGTTGCCGCCTCTCACTGAGAAGGTTGCCGGATCAAATCCCGGCTGGGGGCCTTTCTAGGTGGAGTTTGCATGTTCTCTTGGTGCTTATGCGTGTTTTCTCTGAGGACTGCACTCCAGTTTCCTTCCACAGACCAAAATCATGCATATTAGGCTGGTTGGTAACTCTAAATTGTCTCTAGGTGTGAGTGAGAGTGTGAATGAATGGTTGTTTGTCTCATTTGTCTCTATGTGGCCCTGTGATGGACTGGAGACCTGTTCATGGTGTACCCCCGCCTCTTGCATAATGACTGCTGGATATGAGCACCAATGACTCCCATGACCCGAAAAGGAAGAAGCAGGTAAAGATAATGGATGGATGGATATTCTTGGTTGGTCTGGCATGCTCTTGGTTATGGTCCGGCATGTTCTTGCTTAGGGTCCGGCATGTTCTTGCTTAGGGTCTGGCATGTTCTTGGTTGTGGTCTGGCATGCTCTTGGTTGTGGTCCGGC